GGCCAATGTATTATTAAAGTATGCATAGAGCCGGTACTGTTAATAATTGAGTGACTCTCAACACTGTTTGACAAAGTCAGTCATACTCTGTTTTTCCCTCTTTATAAATAATAAGAAAACAAAATTCAGTCATACTCTATTGCTTAAGCATAAAATCCATGGAAATTTTAAGCTCAATAGTCATTGTTATTACAATAGTCAATGGGCTCGTGGTGCTCGTTAAAACAATCGATGAGAACCGAGCTCTGTTTTCTGAACTCAAGAAATTCATGTCAAATAAAGTCACACTGGTGATCTACGAATTTAATGGAGATGTCAAAGATGAGCTTTATGAAGCTGTCGAGATATATTTGAGCAACAATTTGTCTCCCAAGAATGGTAAAATCAAAGCAAGCAAGACGGAGAAGGAGAAGAATTCGATCAAAGTTGCATTGGAACATAATAAAGAGGTGAAATATATTTACGATGGCCATAAATTCAAGTGGATTTCGCTACAATCTGAGGTCAAGTCCTTTAATCTCACTTTTCGGGCGAAAGACTATGACTTTGTCCTTGACACTTACATGCCTCACATTCTGAAAGAAGCAAAATACCAAAAACACATTTGAATTATCGCGAATTTTACATCATTTATGTATTAATTAAACACATTTCAACTATTAGTTGCTACCTTTTCCTATTTGAACGATAATGATAGTACGTTCAAACTTCAAGTATGAAATGAAAACAATTGATAGTTGAAGTTTGTTTCAATACATAGTTCATGAAGAAGAGGGAATAACTTATAGTCAAAATGTGAAAATCACAGAAAAAAAAGATACTTCAATGCGATTCACATGACATACAGAAGCCATAGAATATGTTTGTCGAAAATTATTCAGAATTTCTTTTATACCTTCTTAGTTTGTTCGAGATTGAAGCATAGTTATTGTTGGATTCTTTGTAGTAAATCACATATGGTATTTTGGTGAACTATTGTTAAAGATTTCAAATATATGTACCTCTTGTCTATAAATGATGATGTTGGCCTTTATTACTTCCAACTCTTTTAAGGATTTACCATTTTTCAAATTTAATTTCTACCATTTATCAGTGTATTCGTGTATAAATTACATGTATTTGGTATAAAAAAGTTGATACAAGATCAACCTAGAACTACTATTATACAAGACCCAAGGATTTCTCCAATGAGAAAAAACGAACAAAATCAATGTAAAAATATACATCAAAACTAATGATAAAGCTTTTAAAAAGGGAACTTTCACATATAGCCACTCAAAAATAGCTTAATTACGCTCCATAACTATAATTTGTTAATTACAATTCGTAGCTACATGTTATAGGGAGAAGAGTGGCGAGCGAGATTGAGAGAGGGAGGAGAGAGGCGAGTGAGAGAGGGCATAGAGTGGGAGAGAGGCGAATTTATATGTCTATTTGTCAAAATAATTGTATATATGTAACTAGTATACATATGTGTTTGTAAATCTGGCGAGCGAGATTGGGAGAGGGAGGAGAGAGGTGAGCGAGAGAGGGCAATAATTTGTATAATTCGCGGGTGCGTTTGCATAATTAGCATGTTTTTGTATAATTGAGTAATACAAAGTTTGGAATTATACAAATATGATAAAACTCGAAATAACTATTGATACAAACATAAACGTATGAACTTTAAACAGTTTTACAAATTATATTATATGAATTACATTATATAAATTATAATATACAGAATTCGAAAACTACACATTTATACAAACTTTTAAAAGTTATACAAAAAAAGATTGAATGTATATGGTGATAAAACTGAAAAAACAAAGGAAATCTTCGTCATATACAAATACAAACCATCGTATACAAAATACAAATCAAACGAAGAATTGTTAGTTGTGAATTATACAAATGTGGCGAATTATACAAACGTGACTAATTATACAAACTCGAAGTCAGCCCACGTAATTAATGGTTAATGTTAGTCGCGAGTGATAATTATAGCAAACTATAGCTATGATGACTAATTAAATAGTATAAATTTGCTTTACCACGTAATTTTCTCTTTTAATAATATACATAAAAAATCATTGAATATTTTTTTTTTGAACTCAACCTAGTCGAACTAGGATCCTAAATTGGGTTAAAACAAGCAAAATAAAGTACGATAGGTGTATTGTCAAGGTAAAAATGGTAGAGATGCTTGTCTAATTAGACAATTTTTCCTTGTAATTATCAACTTTACAATTATAGGCCCGTGAAACTTGAGTTTAGTATAAGTACTGTGTCCAACATATTTCGTACCCAACAATTATATTTTTACTAGATATGAGATTCTGTGTTGTGCCAGTAGTGACCCAATATATGTTACTCGGTTCAAATTTATGTTTAGACAGTTAATCAAAATTTTTAATATAATTTTTGAAGTAGTTAATATTGTGAGTTATAATATTTTGTATGTCATTTTCAAATAATATGTATTATCCTCGTTGTTTCAATTTATGTGCCACAAATGAAATTTGGAGAGTCACCTAAATTTTTGTATGGTTGTTAAATTTTTTAAATTGTTAATTATTGTGATTTATGTAGTTTTTTTTTTTTTATACATTTTCAAATAATATGTGTTATTGTTATTTCTCCTACCCAATTTACGTGAGATAGATGAAATATGAAGAGCCAACTATATTTTTATATGATTTTTAAATATAACCGATTATTTCAAGTGACTAGCTATTCTGATCTATAATATTTTCAATATAATTTTATATACAACAAATTAAAAGGAAAGTAAAACAAATAAATTAAAATTGAAAGAATATTAAATTTCCAAAACATACCCTCATCGACGAATAATTGTCTGCTTTTAGCCAAAGTGAGCCCCACAAATTTGAAACAACAAACAAATCACCCTTGGCTGCAAGCACATAACTCGAGTACACTAGTTGATCAAGAGTTATTTGATTGTAGCCTCTTATTACAAATATCTAGTTTTTTTAAAATCAATACTTTAATACTATAAAATAACAATAACACAAAAAGTATAGAAATTACATTAAAAAATTAGCAAAATTAAATAAACAAACAAATAGAAAACAAAATATTTTACATATTATAAAAACTCAGACCCCACTAATCAGTGGCTGAGCCACTTTAGAGTCAGGGGTTCATCCGAACCCCCTTTGACGAAAAATTATATTATTTATATATGGTTAAAATAATTTTTTAGATATATATTGTAGATGTCGAAACCCATTCGACTACTTTAATTTGTGTCTCTATTTTTTTAGATTTTGAACCCCCTTATTAAAATTCTGGCTCCATCACTATCCCTACAAAGTAGAATTACATTGAATATGTTGTTATTTATAAGGACATAACCAAACTTTAGACGGGTCAAAACATGACTGGTGATTAATTTTCTTCGTTTCAAACGCGTTAAAATTGAATAGATCCATTAACTTAATTAACACCCCGATCTACACTTCAGAAAGACCCAATATTCAACTTAGAGTCAAGTCGGAGAAAAATAAATACTATATAGTATTTAATTGCTTATTTTCCAAAAACCTATGTTCATGTTGACTTTGCATTTTTTCCTGTATTACCTTAGGAATTGGAAAAATAGGAACATGGCAGGATGAAAGTACTAAAGTAAAAAAAAAAATCGTTAAGAGTGTTCCAAATTTACTAGTGCACATAAAAATAATATTTAACCTATATATGTAATATAATTTTTTGACTAAATGTGTTCAATTCATTATCAAATATTGGCAAAAGACGTAAACTATAAGGAAATTCTTGTGGGGGAAAAGGCATAAATTCACCCTTTAACTTGTCTCGAAAAGGCAATTACACGCTTAAACTATTATGATGACCTATTACACACCTTTACTATTTAAAAATAATTTTTTTACCCCCTATAACTGACGTGGCAAAAAAGAAAAAAGAAAAGCACGTTTGAACAATAAAAAAATAAATTAAAATCTTCTTTTTACTATCACCCTATCCCCACCCCCACCCAATGCCTCTTCTTCTCCTTCTATCCACCCCACTATACATCCATCAAAATCCTCTCCCCCCACCCCCATCATATCCTATTTTAATGCGTATTCGATTTCTCCATTTTCATTATATTTGATTTTTCTCTTCGACTTTATTGGTAGTTGATAAAATTGATGATTAAGTTTAAAAAATAAAATATAATGATGGATTTGTTGGCGTGGGTTGAAAAGAAGCGGGAATTGAAGGTGGTGGAGAAGAAAAAATTGATATTGACAATGGTGGTAGTGATATTTGGTGGTGGGTTTGTACCTTTTGATGGTGATGAGTTTGTTTATGGGTGTCAAATTTTGTTGTGGATCTTTCTAATTATTGTGGGGATAATGGTGATAGTATAATTTCGATGGTGGATTTGATCGTAGGTGGTGAAATTTATAGTGGCTATTTTGATTTTCATGGTGAAATATATAGATTTGATAGTAATATGGCGGCAATAATGGTAGTGGTTTCATGGTGGTGTTCATTGAAGAAGAAACAATTGAATGATATGGAGAATTTTAGTCAAAATTTGACATGACATCTGATGTGGTAGTGACATGACATTGATGTGGTGCAAGTGTGATACACCTCCCATTGTGAGAGTGGTGCTACATGTCTTAGGGGGTAAAAAAATTCAGTATTTAATAGCAGATGTGTGTAATAGGGTCACTATATTAAATTAAGTGTGTAATTGACTTTTCAAGATAAGTTCGAAGGTGAATTTATGCCTTTTCCCTTCTTGTGGGCATACATAGGAAAGTTTCAAAGTCTACATAGTCAATACCAACTACCACTATTGTTAGTCTTGGTGCAAGTTTTTCCAATTTTCTTTGGTCAATTTCTCACTATTTTTTTAAATTTCTTTTCTTCACATGATTTTTGCTATAAATTTACCATTTTCCTCAATTGCAATTGCATCAATATATTGGTTACTATTTTTTTCACACATTTGGTGCATAACACTAACATTCACTTGCCAAAAGAACCCTTAAAAATATGTCATCTTCATCAGCAGAATCGAAAATGGCCTTGGCCAAGACTGTTCTATCGACAGTAGGCTCTGTTGCTGCGACAGCCATGTTGGTTCGTTCGATATTTCATGACTACATTCCCCGGGAACTCCATGAATATCTCTTCTTTGGACTTCGAAACATGTTCACCAACTTCTCAAATCAGCTAACAATGGTGATTGACGAATTTGATGGTCTGGTCAATAATGAAATTTATGAAGCTGCTGAGACCTATTTGGGCAGCAAGTTGTCACCTAACATCCATCGACTTAAAATCAGTAAGCCTGAGAAGGAGAAGAATTTCAACATCGCAATGGAACGTAATGAGGAGGTAACGTCTTGCACATATAAAATTACATGTCATGTTACTTGTTATCATAAAAGGTTTGGTCTAAACTTGAAGCTACATGTTACTTGGACTCTTTAAAAAATATTGATGTGTGTGTCAGATCCTTCAAAAGTTATATTTTTTTTAGAATCCAACACAAGCAGGGGCAGATCTAAAGGTATAGATCGGGGTGCCACGGCACTCAGTGACCCCGATTAAAACTTTGTATATATATGTGTATATGTATGAAAAATCATGTATATAATACGCTTGCCACCCATCAAACATAATTGCCAGCGGTGCAATTGGCAAAAGGCGCAATGTAGTACGTGAGGGTTGAGGGTTCGAAATTGTTTTACGTTTTGCTTGTGAGGGGACTTCAACTCTTCCACTCCTTTTGTGTTCTTTTCTTTTCTTTTTCATTATTATGTGCGGGGGTTTAGTTTTTTTTTTTTTCCATTAGTTCTTTATTTGTTATTAATTATTTATCTTATTAAGAGTAACTATATTTTGTTTTTTTAAAAGTATTCTTATTGACTTTCTCTTTCACTAAGTATTAATCTTTAATTCATACGAATGTCATGTGTGAATTCTATATTAGTTAAAGTTTAATTTAGCGTCTCATAAATATTAATAAGAATATATTTCGTGAATAAGGTCTTTTATTTTTTTTTAAAAAAAAAACTACTTCAGTATATCTTTAGTATTAGAATATCTAAAAGAAAACACTACCGAATATTCATATTCGATCAATTTATTTATAAAAATTAAAAAAGAAACTAAATAACTCGAAGTAAATCTAAAATTAAAGGAACCGACCCGTTTACCCTATTTAGACAATATGACACCCACAACGTTCGAATTCGAATTCTGGATCCGCCTCTGAACATAAGTGCAACAACATTTTTTAGGGTCCGTTCCACCTAGACTAGAAGTAGTCTGATGTGGAGACTCTCCACATCAGACATATGTGATATGGAACATAGTGAGGAGGTAATTAAAGTCTTGCACATATATATAATTATAATTGCATGTCATATTATTTGTTATCATAAAGGGTTTGGTCTAAACTGGAAGCTATGTTGCCTAAACTCTTTAAAAATATTGACGGGTATGTATCAGACCCTTCAAAGTTATGCAGAGGATCCAACACGGGTACAATAACATTTTTGAGTGTTCATGTCTGTCAGACATATGACTCTTTTCCCTAATAATCCACCATTGGAATAGTGAAATTAGTCGCCTTCTTTAAAATTCATACGTCTTGATTTGAAGAACGATTGTATTCACGAGTTCAAGTAAGGTTCCACGTTTAATTTACCTTTATGATAATTTAATGTAATAGATAGCGTGAAGACAATGTTTTTTTTTTAAATCTCAAGGTTTTCTTCCGACAGGTGACAGATGTTTATAATGGACAGACATTCAAGTGGATTTGGCTCTGTAGACAAACACAGTCTACAAACTTCTATAATTCGAGGGACATGAATTCCACTCTAAAATCTGAAATCAGGTCCTTTGAGCTGACATTTCACAAGAAAAACAAGGACCTTGTACTTAATTCGTATTTGCCTCACATCATGAAAGAAGCAAAATTGCAAAAACACGTAAACAAGACGATCAAGATTCACACTGTGGATTGCGAGAGAATGTACAATTTACACGAAATGTGGAAGCCAGTGAATCTTAATCATCCAGCCACTTTTGAGACAATCGCAATGGAATCAGATCAAAAAGACATGATCTTGAAAGATTTGGAGAGATTCGTGAAGAGGAAAGATTATTATAGGAAAGTTGGCAAGGCATGGAAAAGAGGGTATTTGTTGTTTGGTCCTCCAGGGACCGGAAAATCTAGTTTGATTGCTGCAATGGCGAATTATTTGAACTTTGATATATATGATTTGGAGTTGACTTCGCTGAGGGGGAACATGGAGTTACGGAGGTTGTTGGTTGCCACAGCCAATAAGTCCATTTTGGTGGTGGAGGACATTGATTGTACCATTGAATTGCAAGATAACTTAGCTAATCGAGCTACTGTTGTTCATTCAATTAATGGTTTTGGTATGCAAGAAAGCAAGGTAAATTAGACTTTTATTTTCCATTTCCTATCTTACTATTCCTACTAGTTGTTAGTATACACAATAAAAAGTTAGGGCTATGTATTAGCTTAATACATAAGAATACACTCAAATACACCTCAGCTAGCAAGTTGGAGTGTTCTACTGTCACGGTGGACACAAGTTGAGTTGTCTAGATGTGCATTACTCATGTACTTATCTTCTCAGGTCAAGCTTGGTGTTAGTGTATTGTGATAATTTCCCTTACTAGGCCATTTTGTTTTGCAGGTGACATTATCAGGTTTACTGAATTTTATTGATGGATTATGGTCGAGTTGTGGAGACGAAAGAATCATAATTTTCACAACAAATCACATAGAGAAACTCGACCCTGCATTGTTGCGACCTGGTAGAATGGACATGCACATTCACATGGCATATTGCACACCTTGTGGCTTCAAACTTCTTGCTACCAATTACTTAGGGATTAAAGATCATAAATTGTTCAAAGAAATTGAGGAATTGATTGACATTGCCAATGTGACACCAGCAGAAGTGGCAGAGCAATTGTTGAAGGAAGATGAAGTTGAGAATTCCCTTAAAGGGTTGATTAATTTTCTTCACAAAAAGATAAAAGAGAATGAAGAGGTTAAGGCTAAGAAAGTGGAAATAACACAAGTGGAATCTGTTGATGAGAAGAAGGAAAATGTTGAAAATGAGATTAAAGAAAAGGAGGAAGAAAAGGTATTACCAAATGGGGAAAGTACTTAAATCCAAATAAAAAGTTTGTCTAATCAAATTTCACGTTGTGTAGCGCCTCATTTGATCTATATAAATAATAAAGAAGTGTATTTGATAAATTGTACAAAATTATAGGAGAACTATACTAAGAGAATTGCTATCACTTAATCATGATTGGAAGATAGTTTATATAATTTTGTACGTATTAATTAATCTGAATTAAACGACTAAGTTGTATGTCCCCTTGAGAGTATTTTACTTTATATTCGCACTATTTTATATAAATAAAATACGTACTAGTATTATTATATACGTTTACTCAATTATAATAAATATTTTTACTTAAAGGTCCTCTATCAGAAAGTTTCAAAATTTAACTATTAATACTCAAAAATCAGACTGTAAACCCAAATAGTTTTCTCCACCGGCGGCGAATTCGTCATGAAACCGGCAGCACCAGCAAATTGATTAATGAAATGCACGGAATCGGCGGCATCCATTATTGTCCGATTTGGCTCCGTTCAGCTAATTGATTTTCCGGCCGACTAATTTTGAGTGAGGTAATTTTCCCCTAATTTATATGATCTGTAAATTGAGTTACAGTGCTTTGACTCTGCATAATGATAGCCCTAACTTCAATCTCTTGTTTCGTTGTTCAACTATTTATTGTTCTATTTACCTACCTAACCTATTACCTTTTCGTGAGTTTCGTTCTTCAACTATTAGTCACTTTTTACTAAAATACTCATGGATGTTAAGTTAGCTTTCACGGTGAACAAGCTAATATTTGGTTATCTCTATTGCAATGTGTGTTTTGAATCAAAGGACGGATAGTTTAGCTAAGTAAAGAGAACTATTGATGATTGAGGTGTGAAACTTACGAAAAAGTGATGGTTTAGGTGTTCTTTTTTTACCATTAACTCCACAAAAAAAAGAATATTAGTAATCAAAGTTTGAAACTTTCTACAACAGAAGAGCAAAAATACAATCAACATATGAGAATAAAATAATTATCATTCTGTATTGAGGTTTTAGCGCTTGGTGTAACAGACTTCAATCTGAAGTCATTTTTGAAGTGCTTAGATTGAGATATAGTTGATTCATTGATTTTCCTACTATTCAAAGCAACCGTTTTACCGCCCAGGATCTAAGCATTTGAAATCTATATAGTTTCCAAATCCAAATCAGTCCATTCACAACAGGTAAGAGTAATTTTTTTTTTTGATAACCAAGAAATCTGCCTGCGACCCGCCGTTTGAATCAATCATGGCCTTCTAAACTCGGTGGATAATGGGTCCGCCCCTCTACCCTTCTCCACTTAAATACTGGGTTTCGCTTTGCATGGTGTGGGGCTTGAACCTATGATCTAAGCCACAAATCCTCCACCTTTTGCCGCTCGAGCTAGGCCTTAGGGGACAGGTAAGAGTAAATTTAATATCATTTATTAGAAAAAAAATAAGGATTAGTATATTAGAGAATTTCTTCCTTATGTTCTTTAATATGTGTTACCTCATGAGCTGGGAGGTTTTCGGAAACAGTCTCTGTACTTCTATGAGGTAGGGACAAGGTCTGGGTACACTCTTCCCTGCCCACACTCCACCATATGGGAACTACACTGGGTATGTTATTTTTGTTGTTTTATATTAGAGAATGTGACAACTAACCTCTCCAACTATTGGTATGGTTTCTGTTTTCTGATTATAGTTAAGTTGTTAAAGATGAGATTGTAGTTGATGAATTGGAACTTGCTAATTTCATTTTCTGGAATATACCAAACCATTGAAACTGTATTATTTGATTGGGAGAAATCTTCATATATTTCTCTTTCAATTTGAAGGAATCTCAAAAGTTAGAGACAAAACGGAGATGTTGTGTTTTATTTAGAAATATATTTTGATTGGTTTTAAGAGTCGCCACTTAATTTTTAAGAAAAAATCAAGAAAACTATTGTTTTCAAAAGACTAAAACAGTAAATCTGTTGAAAACTATTAAGGGGGTTCGAGGTTCCTATTAATATTCTAGGAAGGTTTTTAAAGCACCTAGAATATCCGCTAATGCGGTTATCCAACAACTAATTTATTTGGCTAAAATAATTTTAACTTAGCTTGACTTGTAAAATTGAACTATTTTGTTAATTAGGACCATTTTTAGGGAGAAAAACAGAATTATGAAATATTATCTAAGCGAAATATTTTGTAAGCTTATTCTTTAAGTTTTGTAAGAAATGACCGATTTTAGTTTATTTTTTTATTTTTTAAAATTTTTTTTTTTAAAACGAAATCGATGTCTTTCGGGGATTTGAATTGTTGATCTTAAGATTAATGACAAATATTAACGAGCAAATAAACATAATAAAACAAAGAGGGAAAGAGATTTGGGCCCAAATCTGGTTTTCCTGTCTGCCTGGGCCAGTATTTGGGCCCATTTTCGTTTTGGGCCTTTGGCCCAATTTTTCACCTGTCCTAAACTAACATGAAATAAAATATTATTTGGACCTTAGGCCCAATTTTCACCTGTCCTAAATTTCTAACATAAATAATAATAAGACGACAAGGGCTTAGGCCCAAAATAACAAAATACAAAAAAATGAAAGGTGGGCCTTTGACCCATCTTCATATACGCTAGGCGTATACTAATGTATGCAATCCTGTATTAGCTCCAAACACCTGTATACCCACGTCAAGGATATATTCTTCAACTTTGAAGGTTGATCGACTCAACAAAAGGGGATTGGGCCTCCAAGGCCCCATAAAAATGTAAGAAGGAGATGGAGTCCGTGAGGACATGGGCAAATTTCACATGCAACAAAAACAAGTAAAACTTATGAGTAACAATCCACGTGATTTAATATAGAAAAATAAGGAAATGGACTAATTGCTACTGCCTAAGCATCACAGAGGGAACAAAACACTTAATTGTGCTTAGAATCAAGTAAATGGGTATGGAGGTCATAAGCCAAGGATATAATAGTAGCAGCCCAAACATCAATACTAACTAATTTTAAGAAAAAGAAAGAAAATAAGCACGATAACTCTTTGACAACTTTCTACATAATCTGACCAATTAAGACCAACTACAGGGCAAGAAAGGAAATTAAAAAATAAATGTATCACACTAAAGACAACCAACAACACTAAATAATAGCAAGGGATTTAAACAGTAAGTCAATCTTGGATAAAGGATAAATTGAGAGATAGCATAATGGTATAATTTACGAGCAGGTCAAACAAAATTACACCTCCAAGCTACCACGGCAGACAACTTATGGCATATTTCAAACTTTAGTACATTCATATAATAATAAGGATTTTAACAGATGCAGTTCGAAAAGCCAAATGCTTTCACACGAACATTAGTACCACTAATTTCGGATGCGTAATTCAAAATCTCAGGTCACCATCTACACAACTATATGAGCACAAAGACTATCAAAGTACAATTTTGTACTTGAATCAGGCAGTGACACATGAAAAGAAAAGAAAGAAAATTTCAGAGATTCGCAGTTCGAAGGGTCCTCAGGTTTCAACATACTTATTCCCATAAGTAACAAGTTGAACATATGTAAGTCAAGTTCGAAAGTAAACCAATCACGATATATAAGTTCGTTACTTAAAATAATATGCTCATGTTCAAAACTAAAGTGAAGGCACCAGATTTCCACACATATGAAAGTAAACATTTTTTAGTGATCCTTTTAATGGTGGCAAACTGAAAAAAAAAAAAAAAAAACAGTGAAGCCAAAGTAAGCAAGAGGAAGCAAAACTGAAACAATACCACTAGTAGATGATGCAATCGCTAAAGAATCCAAACATAGCACATCATTATGTCAAGAGCTTAATGACAAACAGCAACAAAACATACTTCCAGAACATTGGAAAATCATTTCGAGATATACGAGACGAGAGATTATTATGAAGAAGGAGATGTTACTTTCTTGTGTGCAGCGAAATGGGAACAGGACGAGCAAAACAATGACCTCCACTACACCGAGACCCGAACACGAACAACGAATCAGAACGTTTGGGCAGAGATATGATGCTCAAACACCCCAAAATTGCGTCTTCCCTCTATTTTTCTTAGAGTATTTAGCTATTTTTGCTTAAACGATTATGTGTATATTTTTTTTTTGTTCTAAAATTTCCAGCCTAAAAATTTTCTCTCCTCTTCACAGTGGATAAAAGTGAATATCTGGAAGGGAAAAGTAGGTTTTTGGAAGATGGGGGGAAAAGGAAAAAATCCGGATAAAAGGAGCCCAAATTAAAATGCAAACTTCAAAATTTCTTTCACCAAATTAGGCGAACACCTTTTTCTTGCAATTTTCACCCCATTCCGGAAGAGGAAAGGGGTGGGACACGTGCTCTGTCCCGCTGTTGCGTGTGTCGACGCGTCTGGGATGCTGCTGTACGTTTCTGGTTGCTGCATTTTCTGGGTTTTCGCTGCAAAGAAGAAAACGCTACAGGGGTCTGCTGTGTCGTCTGGTATGCGTGAAAAAATAAGAAGAAACTATGTGGGGGTGTTGTATGTATTGTAATGTTGTTAGAATTGGGGGGTCTTTAATTTCTTTTGGCATGTGATATTGTATTTAACTGGTGGGCTGTTGAATGGCCCAACACTTGGTCTCTAAAATGGGTTTAAGGTGGGTAAGGAAATATAATTAGAACCAATTGAAGTTAAAAACTTAGCCGATGAATTCGGCCAAAATTTAAATAAGATGAATTAGTACAAATTAATTAATGAGCTTCATAATTTTAACAAAAATAAAATAATCAACTTAATTAGAAACTAAATTATTTAAACTATAAACTACTAAACTAATTAACCAAATATTTGAGTAGAACTAAAACCTTTTTGAGGCGATTTTTGAAGATTCATAAAATGTACTAGTTAGACACATAATTATATAATAATTAACTTAATTATAAACTAACTAATTAACTCAAAATTGTAAACTATTAGATAACTAAACAAACTAACCAAATATTTAATTAAACAAAATCTTTTTGAGACGGTTTTCTAATATTTATAAAATA